GCCATCAACCAATCACAATTGTCATGCCAGCACTATCCTGTATCTCTAGATGAATTCGTCAAGCATCACTTAAGGTTCAGGTGATGGGCCAAAAAAAAAAAATCTTCCAGAAATGAGCACCTAGGAGAAAAGATGCCATATTTCAAACTGTATACAGTATGTCTGGAGGGCCATGGGAGTGTTAATGGATGACTTTCAATACTGACCTCCTTGAGTTCTAAGTCACTTTTAGAGTTATAAGAGCTTTTAAAATTTCTACTGATTCTTTCTATGACATTTAAGGGTGGTAAACAAAGATGAAACAGGTGAGAGTAGAGGAGAAAAGTGAGTTAGTTTTAGTCTAAAATTCCAAATAAGTGACACCTTTATCCAATTTCATTGGATCAAATGTCCAACAATACAGTTCAAAACTTTATACATTTATTATACCGTATGTATAATCCGTATGAACAATAGTAATGAACCCCATGCTTAAGATAATGTAAAGTTCACCCAATTGGCCCAACGACGGAATCCAACGGCGTGGTCAAAGGTATAATGCGTGTGGATCTTTTAATTTTTTACTTAATTTATCAGGATTTAGTTTAAATTTTAGTCTAACTCTGTGTTTAATCTGACTCCAATTTTCAAGTGATCATTAAATGTACACTGTATTTTTAATTGAAAACTGATCACAAATACCGATTATGTATTAATTTAGATATTTTCTTATCCTGGACAATCCGTGTATCATTCGATCATTCGTTTTTTGATTTAATATTGAAAGTAGAAAAATTAGAAAATGGCTCCTTTTTTGATTTTTTGTTTTTTTTCCAAAAAACGAAAAACAAGAATTCAGCCGGCTTCATTTAGATTATTTGACGTTAAATGCATCATATAAGTCACTTTGGAATAAATCACAGTAGGCCTATGTATCATGGTAAAAAAAGCGACTTTACAGTCTGGAAATACTTTAGGCTATAGCAAATTATTTCTTGGACCCCCTATCACTTTAAGGAACCGCTGGTCTACTCAGATGAAAGACCTGTCTAGACTCTGCCCCAGTACGAGTTGTGTCGAGCTATTCATTAGTCTGTTTGATGAGAAAAATATGAAATTGATAAAATGGCTTATTAATCCGTACAACTGCAGCAGTGGAGGACTATTATTCTGCTGCATGATACTGCGGAAGAACTGATGAAGGCACGGTTTGATCTTCGGCTGACCAATCAGCAGAAAGGGGCGTTTAATTCCTGCCCACATGTAGAAAACAAATATTATTCATTTTTCCACACATGAACGAAAAACGTTTTGAAAAAAACAACAAAAAAAAACAAAAAAGGAGCCGTTTTCTAATTTTTCTACTTTCAATATTAAATCAAAAAACGAATGATCAAATGATACATGGATTCTGGACATCCCATACTTTCAATTATTTGTTCATTAGGGACCCAATATTTCTTAGAGCCTCGTGTGGCCGGCACAGGACTCATGATTACAAACTCGCCAGTTCTGAGTTTAATCAGAGGATGCAGAGTGATCTAATACTTTTAAGTCGGCTGCCACATGCTCACTCATACAAAAAGTGTAGTTTTCTTAGTCACGCAGCTTCAACTTGCTTAGTCAGTGATAGACAGAAATCAGAACGTCTCACGTGATGGGGGTTTACTGGTTACAGAATCCCAAATTAATGTCTTGCCACTTTCCTTTTATATCCAGACCAGAACAACGAAATCTTCAAATCAGTTTTAAAAACATAAAAGACCTTTTTATTTTGTCAGGATCCCGTGACCCAAGGGTCACACCTGGCCAGAGAAGGGAAATCATTCTCACCAGACCATGAGAAGGACATTTTCTCTTGGTTGCGCTGCTTCCAGTGTAGTGTATGTTTATATTAGAGCGTTTATCCAATCATATTTCAGCAATCATGTGTTGCCAGGGTCAAAGAAATCTGCCTTGAGGCCTTCAGAATCAACAGTGCGGGCACCTGTAGCTTAAAATAAATGGCAATGAACCCGTTGCTTTAATCAATCAGATTTAGAGTTTGCAACACCGGGGCCATCCAGCAGGCATACAATAACGGCGGCATTTTCACGTAATTTGATTGGATAGTCAGAGAGCATACTAGTAGTCAGAACTAGCAAACAGCACACTGTCATTTTTGTTGTTTTCACAGTTTTAGTCAAAGTCAAATTCAAAGTCTGCTTTATTGTCAATTCTTCCACATGTACAGCACATGCATACAGAGAATAGAAATTGCGTTACTCTCAGACCCTTGGTGCATACAGACAACACTAACAGTAGAGCATAAAAATACAGATAGATACAGATAGAGTAAATATAAAATACAACTATACAAATATACAATGAGGACATGTAAAAAAATAAAAAGTTAAATAAAGCAGCACAAGGCACATGGCAGATAGAGTGCAAACCAGTGAATTAAACAAGCAGTGCAGATATAATGATTGTAGTGCAAAAGAGCTTATTCAGTCTGATTAAAGTGACAATTATTTTATATTCTCAGGGTTCTTACTGTATACACTGTGTACAGTGTTATTGTAAATATTCAATGCATTCTGGGAAAATATTAGCCTACTGTAAATCTAAATACAGTAGTACTAAATGACCACAAAAGACAACCACACACCTCCTTGGGTGTTTGGTTGTCAACAGTTCAGAAGATGTGAAATAAAGTGCACGCATCCATAATAAAACGTCCCTCACATGGCTTCGGAGGGCTCCTGTAGCGAACCCATGCATTTTTGTAAGATAAATATCCATATTTCAAGTGTCACTGGCAACTTTTATCCTGTGCTACCAAAATGTCGATGTTATGACATTTTCCCCTTCAGAGGATTCCTCTTAAACTTTCACAAATCTTCAGATACTATTACAAGCTTGAATGAGACAAAACACTGAAGTGTGTTTAGCTTCATCATATTTCATATTGTACTAATACTAATACATTTAACGTTTTTATTTTTGTTACTTAAAATGTTTCCCTCCATCATGGTATCATCCTTACACAACGTCAAACCTGCTGTAACACTTCTTGAGATATCATTAAATAAATATGTGGGTCTATTCCTCATATAAACTTAAAATACAGTGCACATATAAAAGTTTTAGGATACTTTTGATGTGTTTTTGTCATTTTTTAGAGCCGTAGTTCGAACATTCACCTCTAAAGTAATTGGATAAGTTTGAAATGGGAACTATAGAGTGATGTTTTAGTGGTGCTGTTTCTTTATGAAAGTGTGTCGCTCAGATTAACCTCAAATGCAGTGTGCTGTTAAAGTTATCTCTCATTGCCTGTTCAATTGCACCCATCACAGAGGAGAGAAGTTCACAAGAACAAACATTGGCTGGATGATTAGATAATAATGCTAAAATGCTCTCCTAATGTACTAAAATGTCATAAAATGGAATTTCCCAGTGTTGTGGCAGGAAGGGCTACTCATCAAAGGCTGTATAGATCACTTGGCATAATAGTCTCACTGTATGTCACTGCCTGAACACATTCCAGACCGCTCATTAATCACAGAGCAGCTCTACTGAAAGTCAAGACAACAGACTGGAGAAAAATGACCAGACTATAAGTTGATGATGAAGACATGTACATGTTGCTGTCAAGCCCCTTTTTCTAATGCTCGAGTTGTCTTTTGAATTCAGTCGCAAAAGTGCCATGGGTTCAGTCTGACTGATGGGCTGACTGTCACTCAGGGATTTTGTTCTTTTCACAGATTATAGTGATGAGAAGCTAAAGCTTGCATGGCTGGTTCTCGGTTTGGACCTGTTGCATCGTCGTGCAACCGTTGTTGTTTTTTTATGTTAATTAATGTCTCTTTTTAATCCGTCTGGTGTCTAATCTGTCAGGCTAGCAGTGTCCTTGGTTAGGCCAGTGTCCTTCATTTCAGCATGGTAAGAATCCCACCGATTTGGTGCCATTAAGCCTCTGTTGGGTCTAGTGAGCCACCAAGCCAAATTTAGACAACACCAGCAGACTCACAAGAGGATTACACACCGCCAAGGGGGAAAGTAGATGTTCTTTGATGTTGTAGAAAACACCTTCTGGCTGTATTGCCGTATTTGTGGGGAATCAGTTTTATTATATTTCTATGGTGTGTTTTTGGGTGCGAATGGACTTTCAGCTTAATGGCAAAGCTTGTTTACAGGCAGGCACGCTCAGTGAGAATTTCCCAAAATGTAGTCGGTGCACTGGGAATAATCTGTTGTATATTAATGTTGGAACAGCTGCTAGCAGGCCAGAAACATTAGGGAGGCTAGTGGCATCGCAGTCAGTGGGTTAGTTTAATCTGCAGATAAGTAGGAATGTTTTCAAAATGCCTTTGGTTTGGATATCAAATCTGTGAGTTACACAAGCTTTTGAAAGCAGATAAAAATAGGGAGTGTGTAAACAGACACCCGTATTCCTATGTGTATTATATTTCTTAGAAATATAATCATGTCTAATCTGTAGACTTGCCATCATCCCAAAGTCATTTATAGAGGCCTTGTTGACTATCCATATATGGGTCAATGACATATACAGAGAGAGAGAGAGAGAGAAGTAATTTAAAAGTTTAGTTTAAAACAAGTTATTATAAATGTACTATTTGTACATGTTGGTATCACATGGTTTTTAAACACTTTTATACTATTTTCAAGAAAAGATTCAATTGAATGACTCCAAAAATAGCATGTGATATAGCCAAGTAAAAAGTAAAAAAAAAAAAACTTAAAATGTACAGTACTGCTAAATAATTTTTGTATAGAAATTAATACTTTTATTCAGCAATGATGCTTTAAAGTTAAAGTTCCAAAGTCATTTATAGAGGCCTTGTTGACTATCCATATATGGGTCAATGACATATACAGAGAGAGAGAGAGAGAGAAGTAATTTAAAAGTTTAGTTTAAAACAAGTTATTATAAATGTACTATTTGTACATGTTGGTATCACATGGTTTTTAAACACTTTTATACTATTTTCAAGAAAAGATTCAATTGAATGACTCCAAAAATAGCATGTGATATAGCCAAGTAAAAAGTAAAAAAAAAAAAACTTAAAATGTACAGTACTGCTAAATAATTTTTGTATAGAAATTAATACTTTTATTCAGCAATGATGCTTTAAAGTTACCGGAAGTGACAGTATACACTTTTACATCAATACAAAATATTTCTATTTATATACTTCAAGAAAAGATTCAATTGAATGACTCCAAAAATAGCATGTGATATAGCCAAGTAAAAAGTAAAAAAAAAAAAACTTAAAATGTACAGTACTGCTAAATAATTTTTGTATAGAAATTAATACTTTTATTCAGCAATGATGCTTTAAAGTTAAAGTTATTTTGTTTTTTGAACTTTCTATTCATCAGAGAATCTTGAAAAGAAAATGCATTTCCACAGTTTCAACAAAAATATGAATTGAACTGTTTTCAATACTGATAATAAGTAATGTTTCTTGAGCACCAAATCAGCATTTTAGAATGATTTCTAAAGGATCATGTGACACTGAAGACTGGAGTAATGATGCTGAAAATTAAACTTTGCATCACAGGAACGAATTGCATTTTAAAATATATGAAAATAGAAAACAGCTATTTTAAATATTAAGAATATTTCACAAGTGTTACTGTTTTTAATTTAGTTTTGATCAAATAATTGCAGCCTTGATGAGCAGAAGTCTATTTAAAAAAAAAAAAATTTTTCAAATTAAAAAGTGTTCCTCATGTCCTGAATTATTAATTATGTGTATTATATTTCTTACAAATATAATCATGTCTAATCTGTAGACTTGCCATCATCCCAAAGTCATTTATAGAGGCCTTGTTGACTATCCATATATGGGTCAATGACATATACAGAGAGAGAGAGAGAGAGAAGTAATTTAAAAGTTTAGTTTAAAACAAGTTATTATAAATGTACTATTTGTACATGTTGGTATCACATGGTTTTTAAACACTTTTATACTATTTTCAAGAAAAGATTCAATTGAATGACTCCAAAAATAGCATGTGATATAGCCAAGTAAAAAGTAAAAAAAAAAAAACTTAAAATGTACAGTACTGCTAAATAATTTTTGTATAGAAATTAATACTTTTATTCAGCAATGATGCTTTAAAGTTACCGGAAGTGACAGTATACACTTTTACATCAATACAAAATATTTCTATTTATATACATTTTGTTTTTTGAACTTTCTATTCATCAGAGAATCTTGAAAAGAAAATGCATTTCCACAGTTTCAACAAAAATATGAATTGAACTGTTTTCAATACTGATAATAAGTAATGTTTCTTGAGCACCAAATCAGCATTTTAGAATGATTTCTAAAGGATCATGTGACACTGAAGACTGGAGTAATGATGCTGAAAATTCAACTTTGCATCACAGGAACGAATTGCATTTTAAAATATATGAAAATAGAAAACAGCTATTTTAAATATTAAGAATATTTCACAAGTGTTACTGTTTTTAATTTAGTTTTGATCAAATAAATGCAGCCTTGATGAGCAGGTCTATTTAAAAAAAATTAATTTTTCAAATTAAAAAGTGTTCCTCATGTCCTGAATTATTAATTCAAAAATATAATTTTAAGCTAATGAATATAATTTTTAAGCTAATCTTTTGTTTCACTGCATATTATTTTCAGACTCCAGAATGAAGCCCTCTTGACCAGTCCTGCACCAGACCAATATAATCCTTTTGTAATTTCATAAAGGCAAAATGCAATTAGGTTCTCAAGAGGAATTCAATTTGGCAGGAGGCCATGATGATGGTTTAAACCAGGTTTTGCTACTGTAAATGATCTAAAGTGAACATCAGGCAGCATTGTAACTAAGACAGAGCATATTTTCTCAAGCTGTGCTTAGCTTGTTCAGAGAGCGATCCGAGTTTAATGCCCATGGCTGTACTGGAGCAAAGGATAGAATTAGTCAATATCAAAATGAGAAACTGAGAAAACTCTCCTTCTACAACTCTTTCTGAATTGTAATAACCTTGCCCTCTTCTTCCTAATTTAGAAGTGCTTCTCTCACTTTTTTTTTCCTGAGGTTTAAACCTTAACACTCCTTGTTAGAGTTATATTCATGTAACCTACTGTAAAACCCACCCTCTCTCCTCGACGGATAAAGAACTGTGATCCTCTCTTGAACTGTCCTCCTCTGCAGGACTGCACATGGCCAGAGCCGATACAGACAAGGTCATGTCAGGTACACAGTTGCTGCTGCATGTGCTCGTACATGGAGGACCTCTGTGATCCTGCCTATCTCTCTCTGTGTATGTGAAAGGACACTGATGAATTTCAATTTACAGTCTCTGACCTTCTTGTTATCTCTGGGAGTAAAATGAATGCACAGTTCATCTGACAGCCAGAGGGAAAATGGAGAGTCACAAACATTGATGTTTGATCTTAGATTTTCTCCAGCCAAATAGTTTCTGTTGTTAATAAAAAGAAAAAGGCTATGCAGATCAGTGCTATAGGTAGTAACTGACTATATATAATCTGAATTGCAACAATTTCCACTAATTAATTGCTAATTTCACAAAGAAATGGCAAGCAACACACTGCATTTAAAAGAACTGAAAGTTCTGAAAGTATTTTCTTGAAAAAATGTACTCCAGTAATCAAAGTGATTTTATTTCCTATTAGTCAACAAAAAATAACTTCCAAATTTACTGATTGTGCCACGAAATGTTAAAAGAGTGAGCCAGATCCTCAAATACATGAAATATACATTAAATTGATTGATTGATTAATTCTCCTCTATGCATTGGAAACAACTGTAATTTAATCAATTGAAACTTTTACTATTTTAATGTTAAATAAATTGGTACTTGGCATTAGTTAAAGTTAGAAATGAAAATGTCTACATATATTAATTAATTTAAAAATCATTTTTTTATCAAATCATGCAATGATTTAAATATGTTATATAGGAATTATCGGAAGGAAGGTAAGGAAGGTTATCCAAATTACATTAAATTACACTTTATGTAAGGTAGGAAGTGTCATTCTATAGGAACTTTATTCAAAACATATAAATCTAAATGATCACTGAATTTAAATAATTTTTAAAAGACAGATCTGGTATAAATAGTTACCTGTTACCACTTGTACTCTGTAATTGTTTACATCCATAATTCCATCTCCACGTTGACAAATCACACTTAAACTGGGCTGGAAGGCAGGTGTTGTTGTTTGTGTTTTACATGCAGAGAAGGTTTGATCTCTAAAGCAGTACAACAGAAAACAGCGATCACAAATACAGGGTACAAGATGTTTTGCAGCTTGTGTTACTTTGATCCACTGAACCGCCCAGACCTTGAATCTAAATAATCCTTTATACGTGTGTCAAGAAGAGTAAAAATGTTTATATTCAGAGATTAACAGACAAAACATGTGAAATGTGTAACTAAGAACAAAGAGAAGCTAAAAATAAAAAAGAGAAAAACAGCCTCGTGTATAACAACATCTCTAAATTGAAGCAGGTGTGTTCAGCTAAACACAGCCTCCTGATCAGAAGCTACAGGGATAAACACATTCAGATGTTTGTTAATAAAATGTCAAAACTATGCAAGCTGTAGTCAAACCATCTGACAGAGTGTAGTAGAGCAGAATTGCTGTCTTGCCTCTTTTTTTTTTTGAAGTACTCATTTTTACACATATCGCACCTTCACAGGTGTTCGCTGTCTATATTCTGTCTGCCGCAGTTTACACAGTCTGTCTGTGACTCACAGCCTCTTCCCTGGTTGAATCCACATCATGGCATAAACCGAATAGACCATCTGAGGCACTCAGAGCGGCTTCCTACACAGATAATGATATCTTCTACTGTGCCTTTAGTTCAGTTCACATCAGCACAGTTCAAGTGCTCCAAATAGTTTGTGACAAGCATGAGTCCCCCTGCAAAAAGACCCATCACATACCACCCAATCCAGAACCTGTCAGTTTGCTTAATCTCTGCAGAAGCCCACACAGCCTCAAGTAGACACCTTGGTGTAATTTAATCAATTGAAACTTTTACTATTTTAATGTTAAATAAATTGGTACTTGGCATTAGTTAAAGTTAGAAATGAAAATGTCTACATATATTAATTAATTTAAAAATCATTTTTTTATCAAATCATGCAATGATTTAAATATGTTATATAGGAATTATCGGAAGGAAGGTAAGGAAGGTTATCCAAATTACATTAAATTACACTTTATGTAAGGTAGGAAGTGTCATTCTATAGGAACTTTATTCAAAACATATAAATCTAAATGATCACTGAATTTAAATAATTTTTAAAAGACAGATCTGGTATAAATAGTTACCTGTTACCACTTGTACTCTGTAATTGTTTACATCCATAATTCCATCTCCACGTTGACAAATCACACTTAAACTGGGCTGGAAGGCAGGTGTTGTTGTTTGTGTTTTACATGCAGAGAAGGTTTGATCTCTAAAGCAGTACAACAGAAAACAGCGATCACAAATACAGGGTACAAGATGTTTTGCAGCTTGTGTTACTTTGATCCACTGAACCGCCCAGACCTTGAATCTAAATAATCCTTTATACACATGTCAAGAAGATTAAAAATGTTTATATTCAGAGATTAACAGACAAAACATGTGAAATGTGTAACTAAGAACAAAGAGAAGCTAAAAATAAAAAAGAGAAAAACAGCCTCGTGTATAACAACATCTCTAAATTGAAGCAGGTGTGTTCAGCTAAACACAGCCTCCTGATCAGAAGCTACAGGGATAAACACATTCAGATGTTTGTTAATAAAATGTCAAAACTATGCAAGCTGTAGTCAAACCATCTGACAGAATGTAATAGAGCAGAATTGCTGTCTTGCCTCTTTTTTTTTTTGAAGTACTCATTTTTACACATATCGCACCTTCACAGGTGTTCGCTGTCTATATTCTGTCTGCCGCAGTTTACACAGTCTGTCTGTGACTCACAGCCTCTTCCCTGGTTGAATCCACATCATGGCATAAACCGAATAGACCATCTGAGGCACTCAGAGCGGCTTCCTACACAGATAATGATATCTTCTACTGTGCCTTTAGTTCAGTTCACATCAGCACAGTTCAAGTGCTCCAAATAGTTTGTGACAAGCATGAGTCCCCCTGCACAAAGACCCATCACATACCACCCAATCCAGAACCTGTCAGTTTGCTTAATCTCTGCAGAAGCCCACACAGCCTCAAGTAGACACCTTGGGAAAACCAAACTATTTTTGCCTGATTATATGACTATTCCAGTGTGGTTGTTGCTCTCATTTGTTCAGATGCACCTGTGTTTTTGTTGATTTGATGTTTGGCACTCAAGCAGAAGAACATGTCTGACAGGTTACTGAATCAGACTCATACATGTGTGTGTCATGCACCTACTTTTTATTTGAGGGGCCCCCAGAAGCAGTTCATTTGGTGCCTTTGGCAAGATAAGACATAAACAAAGACAGTAAACATAGTAATTCATCATATACATGTAAGATATGTTTGTCTACTGGAACAGTTTTGAATTAGCGGCAAGAAAAATCTTTAATTAAAACATGCCAATATTAGTGCTCACCATGCATGTTTGTTGGATGCATTTTTTTCAGTCAAATTATCTGTGGAAGGTTCTACTTGATTGGGCAACATTTTAGACAAACATCTTTTTATCTATAATAATCATTTAAATTATCTATCAAATTTACTGTAAGAGCCACAAGTTACTCATTTCCTTATATACAATAGATGTGGATTAAATTATTATGATTAAAGTATAATATTAAATAAAACAATACAATAGTTTTTTGACTGTGTAACATTTTCGTTCAGCACCTGTGACGACATTTCCCTGTGATGATATTACTTTGCTTCTTGCATGTTTCGCAACACTTTCAAAGACATTAAAAGCACATTCTGTTTTATCTGAAACAGATGAATGTGAATCTGATGTTTTATGACTTTTGTATATCGTGGTTGTTCAAATAATAATAAATGTCCGGCAAGTGGCACTAAAATATTAATGCTCTATCGTATTTTAAAATAACACATCAACTACACTTAACTCAACACATTAAACACTAAAATAATAAAAGGCATTGCTGTTATTTGAGTTAAACACACATATCAAGGAGATACAAAGACATTTGGTAAATAGGACAGATTTCTACCACAAATTCAAATAATAAATAAATAAAACTTGCACATTTGGATCAAAAATCTGAGCAGGCACCCACCCTCTTTGTTTGAGTAGTCATGGTGCGTTCTCTAATAATGTGTTAAATAGGGCAAAACATAAATAAATACAGTGAGAACATACAGTGTCATGAGGAAACACATACAATTCCCTTGCTTGTATGATGGATGCTTAAGCTCACAGCCTTTGCTCTAGATCCAGCTGCAGCCGTGCCATTGCCCCCAAATCTAGTGTTAAAAAGCAGCCAGGGTCTAATTCTGTCCACTACCTCAGGTTACATTACACACACTCACACACACACACACACACATGCACGCACACACAATATAGCCACAGTAAGGTGAGTAAGAGCTTCAATTTACAAATAAAATAAGTGCAATTGGTCTACCATGTACAGGAAGAATGACGACAGTGATATTGCTTTAACCAGGGTCACAGCACATTTCATCAATACACTTAAGAGTTTATGATAAGGAGTGTTATGATAGTGAATGTCTATGAACTTACAACCAATAGCAAATACAGCCTATTGCGCTGCAGAAAGCAGACATGTTCTATACATGTCTCAGATCTTTAAGGGCCAAGTCTAAGTCAAGTCTTTTGTCAAGAGTCTCAAAACCTTTTAGTAATAGTTTTGAATGTCAGGGTTGTGCACCATTCAGAAGTGAATTGAAAATGCCTTTGATGGGAACAGAATTAAATCAATTCAAAAAAATTTTTCAAATTAAAAAGTGTTCCTCATGTCCTGAATTATTAATTCAAAAATATAATTTTAAGCTAATGAATATAATTTTTAAGCTAATCTTTTGTTTCACTGCATATTATTTTCAGACTCCAGAATGAAGCCCTCTTGACCAGTCCTGCACCAGACCAATATAATCCTTTTGTAATTTCATAAAGGCAAAATGCAATTAGGTTCTCAAGAGGAATTCAATTTGGCAGGAGGCCATGATGATGGTTTAAACCAGGTTTTGCTACTGTAAATGATCTAAAGTGAACATCAGGCAGCATTGTAACTAAGACAG